AAATGTATGGATCATTACATTTTTTTTACGAAAAGTAGTATTTATATAGATCTTTCATTCAACATACTTTTTTTTTATATCAGACCATTTTCCTTAATACAGGGGGGATTCAAATCATAAAAATGCATATAGAAAGTAGAACTTTTTCAACTTAACTTTTGAAAGTGTTCGGGAAATTCTGATACTTTTATATATATCTTAAATTAAAGCTTATGCAATATACTTTATTATTAAAAAAAAAAATTTCGGCCTTTATTTTGTCTTCATGGAGAAAATGACTACCGAATGTTTTTTTGTGTGAAAATACTCGATGTTATTTTTTACATTTTACATCAATACAATTTTAAAATGGGAAATAATATTTATATCCCTCTTTTATTTGACATACTTTATCTTAATCAGGTTATAAATAAAGAAATAGCAGATCATGTAGCTTTTGGAATAATCAACCAATTTTTTAAAATTAAACACTATCTAAAGATTTGCATCGAAGCGTTTNGCAGATACACAGCATTGTTATTATCAATTGTAGTAAGGCACATTGTTATGAGTTTATAAATACACTAATTGACAATACAGAAAGTATATCTATTGATAATCATAATTGATAATAAAAAATCCACGACTGAGACAGCAATGTCATAAAAATCCAATAAGCTACATGTATTTACAATCCCATGTGTATTATACATGTATATTAACTCAAAATGTTGAAACTTTAAATGCTTATATCTAATAAGCTAATAAAGTTATATTAATAATTCAAATGTCATTTGCTATTAAATTAAAAACTCAAACATTTTATTAAATTAAAAATATGTGTTACCATTTAAAAAAAAAAAGTTGAACCCCTTCCAAGGCATAAGGGATGCACTTAAAAAGTATTACATAGTTAAAAATTCAAGAATAAAGTGTAACTAAAGANATCATAAACCACTCAATTACTTGCAGAATAATAATAAAAAAAAAATGTTTAAATTATTATTATTCTGCAAGTAATTGAGTGGTTTATGATAAAAAAATCACCCTGTATACAAATTAAAGAAAAGCCAAATTCTATTCAATAATAAATTTTAAAAAAATGTATTTTAGATATAATTCAATATACCTAGGACAAGACCCAAATTATTTTAACTCAAAAGAGATCAGATCATTTTTGGCTGGTCATTATATCTATATTATGTACCATTTAGTAAAATACGCATCACATTATCGAATGATTAAAGTAAAAAAAACAATTAATTATAAATAATTAATACATCATATTGACTATTCAACATCACCCTATTATCAATTTTTACCAAAAAATTCAGAAACTTATCTATTTTAATTGTCTTTTATCAATGAATCTTGATATCATTAATATAGAATCATTAAATTTATTTAAAATAATGATTATAAAATATGGTTTGCTATCATAAAAGATCGTGTTAATAATTTAGAATCACTGAAAAATTACACATAAAAACCTTTGAAAGTTTTTCGGAAGGTTTGACACTTTTATATATATCTTAAATTAAAGCTAATGTAATATACTTTATCATAAAAAGAAAATTTCGGACTTTATTTTATCTTCAGGGTGAAAATGGCTACCAAATGCTATTTTTGTGTGAAAATTTTCGATTTTGTATTTTACATTATTAACTTTATTATGCTATAACTTCTTGAAAAATGTATGGATCATTACATTTTTTTTACGAAAAGTAGTATTTATATAGATCTTTCATTCAACATACTTTTTTTTTATATCAGACCATTTTCCTTAATACAGGGGGGATTCAAATCATAAAAATGCATATAGAAAGTAGAACTTTTTCAACTTAACTTTTGAAGGTGTTCGGGAAATTCTGATACTTTTATATATATCTTAAATTAAAGCTTATGCAATATACTTTAATATTAAAAAAAAAAATTTCGGCCTTTATTTTGTCTTCATGGAGAAAATGACTACCGAATGTTTTTTTGTGTGAAAATACTCGATGTTATTTTTTACATTTTACATCAATACAATTTTAAAATGGGAAATAATATTTATATCCCTCTTTTATTTGACATACTTTATCTTAATCAGGTTATAAATAAAGAAATAGCAGATCATGTAGCTTTNCAGGATATTAATAAAGAAATAGCAGATCATGTAGCTTTTGGAATAATCAACCAATTTTTTAAAATTAAACACTATCTAAAGATTTGCATCGAAGCATTTTTTTTTATAGTGATTTTAATCACTGTCANAATTGTGGCTGCCAAAAAACAGGGCTTAAATATCATTATACTTGATCCAACTATGCCACGTCTCCACTGTACCGCGACCCCCCCGTGATGGGTTTTTTCTTATAAATGTATAATAATTTTAATAATTTTATCACTCTAAGTGATAAACATTATTTTTAGATAATTTAAAATATTTTACCAAAGAATAAGTCTTATTTATTTTTACCTAAACATCTTCATAAGGAATTAATATTATTTTATTATATTTGATAATTTTAAATATTTTCGTATCCTTCATTTTTGGACAGCCTTAATTGTGTTGAATAGAATGAATAAACCAAATATTGTAATTAATACTAATTAATGCGGTAGTTG